CTGAGGCACGTCGATGACATCGGTGATGACCTCACAGTCGGTGGCCAGTTTCTCCAGAGCACACTGCGCCACAAGAATCTGCTCCGGTGAGCCCTGAATCAGAAAATTCACCAGGCTCTGCTCTTCAGTGTTTGGCAGCACATTTATCTGGGCACCAGACTTCTGATTCACCTACACAAACGTGAGAGTTAGAGAACCGCATGATGCAAATCGTATACCTTTTTCCATCAAATATTTTTTTGTTTCTCTATAAAAAATTTTTTAAACATCATAATTGTTAAATAATGTTTTGCAATCAAATTTTATAGAGATTATTACACTGAAAAAGAAAATATCCTAATATACCTACTACAGTACCTTCACAGCCGTGGAAATCACGTAAAATGTGCTAATTACATTTACAATATTTACATTTAAACTATAACAATTTAAGATAAAATAAATTACATAAACATAAAATCCTTAATATACATATTAGTAGACACTTATCTAAAGCAACAAATGAGGAACATACTCATAGTATACACTTTGTTCAAAAGTTTGGGGTCAATAGAAATGATTACTTTTATTCAGTAAGAACGCATTAAATTGATCAAAAGTGACAGTAAGACATTCATAATGTAACAAAAAAAACTCTATTTTAAATAGGGCTGCACGATTATGACAAAAATCATAATTGTCGATTATTCCCTTGAAATTGTAATTGCGATTATTAATTACGATTATCACAATTTACATTGAATGATGTTTATACCATTGTTTGATGCAACTGCATGCCATATTTTTATATGAAAATAAACAAGCTGAAAACACTTAACTGATAAACCTTTAGTGCTTTTCTATAGTATTAAGCCTCAAATGCCAAATATACATCAGATTGGTTTCTTCTTTAAATTATAAATATGAATATGAATGGTATTATAATGTTATACTAAAACTAAAACAATGGAAAAAGATTAGAAATTCGATTAATTGTGCAGCCCTAATTTTAAATAAATGCTTTTCTTTTAAACTTTCTATTCATCAAAGAATCCTGAAAAAACAGTTTCCAAATAAATAAACAAATAACCACACCAAATCAGTATATTAGAATTCAGCTTTATTATTACAATAATACAATTATATTTTAAAATATATTTAAAAAGAAAGCTATTTTAAATGAATCATTTCCCAATTTTACAATTGATTAAATAAACGCAGCTTTGGTGAGCCTAAGAGATTCTTGCAAAAATATTTTAAAAATCCTACAGGCCCCAAACTTTTGAACAGTCTATATTGCATATACTGTATAGTTCTAGTGCCATGCAAAAAGACCGAACAAACACTCACTATGTCTAGAAAGGTGCTCTGATATCTTGCAATAGATCGGTACACGTCAAGGGGAACAGATATTCTGGACTCCTCTTTGCTTTGGCATTGCACTACAGAAATCAAATAATGGAATAAAGAATATCAACACTATACTATCACTTTTATACTTACAAAACAATATAATTTTGACCATCCGTGAGTGGAAAACGTATGTCAGCACATGGCAATTGATCAGAGCATTAAAAAAAGCTTACTAGAGTTCACAACTCACCACTGCTGCTTCGAATGTGACGGTAAACAAGGTATCCCATTGTGGCCCCCACAGAAAGGCCGGCAGCCAAAGCTACTTTCTTCCCAGAGCTTAGGCTCTTCCACGGTCCATCTTTCACCGCGGCCATCACTTGGGTCGGACCAACCGGTAAACTCCACCTAGAGACGCAGAACGAGCTGTAAGGTCCATGAACAGAGCAACACCTGAACTTTAGTCCGCACCATGTATGATTTTACATGGGCTTTCTTAGTAGCGCCATGCAACACAAATGAATGGTTGATGACAACGGCAAAGACGGTCTTCTGGTTGTCTTTCAATCCCAGAACAAAATCTGCAGAACTTTAATCAAAAGTTACTATTTGACCACTCATTTATGAGATTGAATCTAAACCATTATAGCTAGCCTATTTTTTGTTACCCAGTTGGCTAAATAAGGAGAACAAAGATCACATTTAACAAACACTAAGACTCTATAATTGGATTTAGGACATTACAGGCTGTGGAAACACATTAGATCTTTCAAACACAACAATTAACAACACAGTCTTGGTTTTATTAAATTAGATTTTAAAGTTCAAGCACACAGCAAAGCAGTGGACTGGACAAAGCTGCAATAACGACACGTTTTGTCTTCTAATCTCCCTGACCCAATGAAACCGCTAATCAAATTATTTGCATTTGCATGAGGTATTTCTGCAAAAACTGCATCAGCTTAAGGATTAAGCAGGCTCAAACCTCCTGTGCTGCCTCTCTTCAGCAGGAAGAACAGGCAAAAGAGTGAAATATAAATTAAATACAAACACCAGCTGAAGGCACCATCCAGATTCCTTTTAGCATGTCAGGAGCTCCTCAATTGGGGGAACTAATAAATAACCCTAACAAGCACATGCACCATGTAATACACCACTTCTTTTTATTATTAAAATATAAGAGAGACAAAAACAGCAAATGCACATCGATGGTCATTTGACATTTCATTTGAAGCCAAATCAATGTTTAGTTGTAATATTGCAGTTAGAGAAGCCCTCGAAATCAGCCATTTTTCAATTTTTCTTTTAATTTAGAGATTAATAAATTATATGCAACCATTGTTGTTATTGTTAACTAAACCAGAAACAGTTAAAAAACGATTTCAGTAACTAAAATAAAGCAGAAATAAAATAAACCAATACTTATTAGAAGAAAAACGTACATTTTGAAAAGTTAAGTTGACAACTAATCTTAAGAGTGACTAAAATCTGAAGAAGAAAAAGAAATATGGAAACATTGATAGAAACCTAAAATGCAAACTGAAAATATAAAATAAAAGGTCATTTAAAATATCAATGAATGCTGTATTATATAAACAATACTAAAATAACACTGCATGATGCAACCTAATCTGATGTATTTCTGAGGTATTATTTTGCATTTGAAAAGATGCACATCTGCTGCACATGTGGCAGAATAACCAAAAGTGTTGATAGCCATATTAAAGAATTATATTGTAAAAGCTTCTTGAACCAAAAAAAACAAATAAAATAACGTCTTGCTCTGTTATTATAGTCCACAAATATACTTTTAGTCAAGTGGTTCACATAATAACCATTTTAAACCAACTTAATCTTTTTATCTATCAGCAAATATGTAAAACTCAGATTTGGGTGGAGACAGTAGGGTCACTAGCCATAGATGTAACTTAGGCCAAACCAGACTTTATTTTAATGTAGGTCTGCTTCACTTTACTGCATTCTCTCTCTGGTTTAGCATGTGTGCAAATATAAACAAGACGGCATTCACGTGCATCAGTAACATCTACCTTTGCTGCTTTTTCTTTTGCTCATTGAAGCTGTAGCCTGTATCACTGCACCATTATCAGATACATGCACATAAAAACAGGACCTGTTGTGCATCAAGATCATGCACGTGAATATGCGTGTGCAATTGTTAATGCAGCGTCTGTTAGCGCGTGATGGATGTGCATTTCTCGCCTTTTCAAACAATCAATCCCGCGTTTTAAAGCCTTACTTGTTTTAAAAGCCTACGTCTGACATAGGTTTGTTTGGCTGGGTCATGCCTTTGCAACATATACAGCAGGTCGTTTGGGTTTTCAAATGGCATCTTCCTCGGACGCCTAATGCATAAACACCAGAACCAGATAAAGCACTAAAACAGATATTCCGATATATTTACCTCTAAAAGGGTATAAAATGTGAAGAAACCCACGTAGCGAGTCCTTCAAATGATCTTATGACACCCTTCAGCGTGCTGCTGTTGATCCACCGGCGCTGCCGTGCTTCATTCTTCTTCTTCTGATGTTTATTGGCGGTTTTGGCAAACCAACTTAAAGGTGCATTACCGCTGATTTCTTTCTCTTTCATACGCATCGCATTCTAGAAGAATGTGCTTGACTGTTTCTGGATTCCCACATTTATCACATCTCCGTGCTTCATTCTGGAGTACGCAGTACGCACAGTTAACCTTTCAACTATGATTGGCCAACATCCCGCTTGTCAACCACTAGATCCAATCACAACCTCTGATGTTGTGGCACCTCTGATGCAGACAACGCCCCCTATTGGACGATTATAGCAACACACAGTGGGCGTAATAATTTCTTACAACCTTGATGGCATAATCAAGTCTTGATTTGTTAAGTGCAATCATGGAATGTGATTTTTATGTTTATAAAATGGAATAAGTAAATAATACATTAAATAAACTTTAAAACTGTGTTTTAAAAGTGTTTGAAAATCTGAATATTAAAACTCTTGTACATTTTTTAGTCAATATTTCATCACTAACGACTTTTCCAGTTTGTTTATAAAATGGAAATAGTAAATAATAAATTAATTAAACATTAAAACTGTGTTTTAAAAGTGTTTGAAAATCTGAATATTAAAACTCCTGTAACTTTTTCAGTCAGTATTTCATCACTAACGACTTCTCCAGTTATTACAGTAACAGAATGTGAAATATAAAATATCTGAACTATATTAAAGCATATTGGTTTTGCCCATATCTCTGAAAGAAGTGTAAATGTGGATCAATATGCACTCGTATTTTGGCCAGAAGCATCAGTTTAGTGTTAAAATGCCTTCTTAATGGATTTTTTTATTACAAACATGCAGCTTTTGTGTCAAGTCGTGTGGATTATGTATGAATTAATGTTTTTATCAGCTGTTTAAACTCTCATTCTGATCCATTGGCGAGCAAATGATGTAATGCTAAATTTCGTCTTCAAATCTGATCCAATGAAGCAACAATTGGTGGCCCAAGAGTACATTTTTGGCAAATGATCATTTTTGTGTAAACTATTCCTTCAAATATTGCAGTATGTAAAACCGCAGACTTTGGCAGAATGGATGAAATGATTTGGACAGTTGAATATTACAATATCATAAGAGACTTTCTTAATGAAAGAGCACACCTTTTTTGAAATGAACATATTTATTAACATAACATTGGCCACAAATAATCTCTGGGGAAGGGGAGAAATCAATGTTAAAGACATCATAAAAAAATACAAACTGTACAACATTTATAAATCTTATGAACATTCATAAATAGCACATATATTGGGTCAATCTAGGTTGTAGCCCGGGCATGTATTTTGCAGAGAGGTTCTGCACAGCCCCCTAAAAGGGCCTGATTCACACTCCTGGCTTAAAGATGACAGATTTTCTGACTGATGGAAAAACATCAGCAACATTTTAATCCATGCATGAAACATATTCAATGTTCAGCAGATGAGTAAATCAAGAAAACCTTGCATTCTTATGGTCTTTATCATGCATACATCAGGAAATAAGGGAAGAGAGAAGATTTCAAAAATAATTACCAAATAATTACTGTACAAAAAACACAGCTCCCAAAACATTTTTCCTGTTACTACCATTTGTGCATAACAGAAGATCAGTGCTTATAAAAAATTAATTTCGCCCTATACTGATAGGCTATTTTACAATTTTCTTAATTGTACATATTTATACCACTGATTTAGCACCAATTAAAAATTAACTACTTTATTTACTTTTTGATTTCTCCATTATGTCTGTATTTGGGCGGCTTAGTTACACAGCAGTGATTCTGAACGATAACATCGAACCACAGCAACAGTTATGTAATGGGGCAGTATAACCTCTAAACACATCGTAAGACCCACCTTCCTGTTGAATGAGCAGGAAAAGTAGAAGAAAGCATGTAACATGCATTGCAAAAATGCACTATGTACACTTATGAACATTCAGTGCCTATAACAATCTCTCGATGCATTATGGAAAAGGCTGCTAGGTTGCAATCATTTGCTGTTAAGATGTACAGACATATGTAATAATTTCAAAATAAATATCAACATTAGATTAGAAATTACAGTATGTATTTGTGATTTAAACTTGAGTATAACAGTGTGACAGGAACAAAAAGGCAGGAAATCAATAAATTAAGACATCTTGCAGTTTATTACATGGGATCGGTAGTGGATTATTGGAAAGACAGGTTCTTTAGAAAATACTAACTGGGTTCTTGAGTATAGGTTCTAGAGGTCCCATGATGCCTGTACACAATCATTTTTAAAATCGACCACATTATACAGGTCTAGCAGCAACTTAAAGGGACAGTTCACCTAAAAATTAAAAGTCAAACTGATTTATTCACCCTCATATCATTCGAAACATGACCTTCACTGTATGGATACAAACAATTAACACATTCTACTAAATATCTCCTCTTATGTTCTGCAGATGAAATAAAGTCTAACAGGTTTGGAACAACATGAGGGTGTGTTGATGACTATTTCCATTTTTGGGTGGACTATCCCTTTAAATTCTCCTTTTATTAAGTCTAGGGGAGGTCACTCAGAGGTTTCAGGCTATATGTTAGTGATTTGCACTACTATTGGAAAAAATAAATGCTGGTAATTTGGAGATTAGCTGGTCACTGTCAGAAAATACATTTGAATGCATTTTTAAATAAGCACATCTGGTGACACTGTAATTGAGCCCCTTATACTCCATAGCTGCAGCCCAACGAGATAAATTAAAAAAAAATAATAAAACCTATTAAAATCATGACGTTGCCTAAATTATATTAGCAATCAGCTAGAGGTAGAACAGAATAAAAGTTCAATATCCCTTTTTACCAGTAAACACTGAATTCTCTGGATGGGGGTGAAAAAAATAATTACTAATAATTACAAAAATTTTTGTTTTTAAATAAGCCCACCCCATCCAGAGTTAGATATATTCATTACAGAACATCGGAAATAATTCTCTTGAAAAAATGTGCGGTGAGAAACCAGGCAAGTGTTGTCTTGCATGCAAATGTATGCAGCAAAAAAAAAAAAAAAAGAAAGAAAAAGTAATCAGTGCATTCTGTCTGACAATCACGTATGTGAAAAAAAACTGTAGACAGAATTAGAACAAGTTGGAACATTCTTCCTTCAGCTGGAAAGCTATTGCTTTGCCTGGTTAAAAAGTCTTTGTTTTGATTGAACTTAAGAACTTTGCAGTAAAAATAGAGTTTAAAAGAAGACTAAAAAAAGATTCCAGCTACTCATGCATTTCATCTGATATTGATTTGTAAGAGAAAATGAAATTTAAAGCCTGTCTGATTCTAGGCAAGCTAGTAAATGAGTTTGCGCACAGTCTCCCACTGACTGCATTTGATTTTGGAAGCTAAGCTTCTCAGCTAAGTTCCTCTAGCTGATCATTCTTGTAAATGAATTCACTTGATCACAAAAGAAAACAGAATGAAATATTTCCCCTCTGAATATGAGGTAAGTTGTGGTGATGACATTCACATTATAACCTGTTAAAACAGGCTTCAACAAGCTCTTATGACGTACTAAATGAACTGCATGAAACCTCTCAGCAGTGTGACAAAGAACCATACGGCTAAAATACGAACACAGAGAACCTACAGCAAAAGCTCATCTCATGAGCTCACGTCTCGTGTTTGAAACAAAGGAAATCAATAAAATCCCCATTTCACAACATCTAATAAAAAAATCATGCTAATTTAGCCCTCCATTGTACATTTTGGTATATATTCTCTATATCGTGCATTACAGTTTCAGGTTTTGAAGGGGATAAAGAAATGGCCTCATTGAAAAACAATCCCTCCATTAAATGACCCTGTCCAAACCAAAGCAGCATGCAGGTGAACATCCCTCAAACAACACAGATGAAATCTTTACTTTGAGTAAAGCCTAAATCAAAAGATAGTTTAGGATCTCACTGATTAAAAACGCAGCCCTCAGTGGCATTCATGGGAGAAATAGAGTTCCGCCCAGTGGAGGTGTTGCAGGAAGCACTCTGTTGGGAGGAAATCCAAAGGAGTCTTCATCTTCTCCACCACTGAAATGAACATGACGTTTAAGTGTCCGGTACAGACACAGGTCAGAAGGGAGAGTTCATCCCCAGCTTAGTCTCAAACTGAAGCTTCTGCCTCTTCTGGTAACGCACTCGTACCCTGAAATCAGAGCCATATTTTCATAAATTGTGGGTTATATGATTAATGGTTTATGTAGGCTAGATTTGGGCTTATTTTAAATGTAAAGGAATCACATAAGAAATGAAATAGTCAAAATAGTGAAATAGTGAATATTATAATTTAAAATAACTAAAAAATAACTGTTACAATGAAAATAACTGTTTTCTATTTTAATATGTTTTAAAAAGTCATTTAGTCCTGTGATGACAAAGCTCAGCAGCCATTAACTCATGATCGTTAGATGACTTGTTAGGTCTAATATGCTGATATGCTGCTCAAGAAACATTTCTTATTATTATCAATGTTGAAATCAGTTCTAACTGCTTAATATTTTTGTGGAAACCGGGATACATTTTTTTTCAGGATTGTTTGAAGAATAATGAAAGTTTAAAACATAAATGTCTTTACTGTCACTTTTGATGAATGTAATGCGTCCTTCCTTACTGAATAAAAGTACTATTATTATTATTTTAATCTAACTGAACTCAAACTTTTGAACAACAGTATACACTGTGGCCTATTCCTTACATAAAGCTATCATACAGCTTCAGATGACTTGGAATATTTTAAATGAGTCCAATGGCCTACTTTCATGGTGTATTTATATATTTTTTAATAAATGCGTTAATTGTATGAAATAAGCAACAGAGAAAGAAAGTCATTTAGGGATGGTAATGGCATGAAACTGAGTAAGTGATGACAGAGTTTTCTTTTGTTCCCTCTACATTAAAGCGATTTATCCTCTTACCTGATTTCATGCAGTTTTACTGCTTCATTGATTAGCACCACAAGTACGATGGACAGAGAGACCAACAGCCAGACCAAGTGGGGAATGTGATGTAGCGTGAAGACCACCTCTGTACTCCTGTCCTGCCACAACTGATAATCTATCACAGCCTGAACCACCTGTCCCAACAACCTGCAAGAAAAACCATTGACAAAGTGCTTTTAAATGATCCAAGCCAAGTGAAAATACTTATAAAAAATAAATAAATAAAAAAAAAAAGACCTTTTTTTACTTCTAAATAAATGACTTTTAGCATGTGACTTGATAATAAAATAACCATTCTCTACATTAAACACTTACACCACAGGCACTGCGAGACACCACCATGTGTTACTGAAGGGGTTCCTCCTCCACAGGGGTTGTGAACGGTGCACATAGCTCAGAGAGATGACCACTGAAAGAGAGGAAGAGAGATGTTTTTTTTCACTCAGATCCATCTAGATAAAATAAATATTCAAATGAGACAATTAGGGTATTGAACGTATTGAACCATTCGGTACAAGGCTTTCGGTTCGGTACGCATTACAAACCGAACGATTCGATTCGTTGGACTAATCCTATTACATTTGGAAAATAAAACAGCTTAAAGTGTGTGAAATATGATGTTCTCAGTGCCACTGTGCTCAACAAGGCAGCCTAAACGACGTACCAGGCAACGTGCGGTCTGCCCCGCGATAACCTCCCCTTGCTGGGGTGCGTTGAAAGACGATGATCTTGTGTCGACGATAGCCAGAGATATTGACAAAAACATCAAATGTTGGCAATATTAAGATATTTGGCATTTCCAATTAATTTAGGCCTGTTACATTCTTATTTTTATTAGGCCTATTATTATAATTATTATTATGAAGTTACTTTTATTAGGCCTTAAATTACATTTAATTTGCCCCGCAATAATTACCAAATAACTGACGTGCTGCGAGGATAACAAAAGATTAGGCTATATACTCCTCAATAGGGGTGTGCGATATTGATATCTCTATATTTTCTGGAATTTTATCGATAACGATAATTAGACGATATTTTGCCAAGTGGGTTATTTTGCTGACATCTTAAGGACTACCGTGGACAGCGGACTCCTAATGTTTTTGATATTCTTCATATTCTGTGTGGTGGTCAGTTCACAGCAGTGATAGAACTAGCGAATCCTTTTCCAATGAGTTTAAATTGATTTTTACCTTTTATGGGCATTTTTACCTTTATAAAGCCATTTTTTTCTAAAAGTGTGGATCATCTTTTGAGTCAAATTCTTACATTTAATTAGTCGGTTAGAATAAGACCTTTGGGCTTTTACCAGGCAAATGAAATCAGTATCAACAAAATGTATCTTTGCAATGCAGAGGAAACACAGAAGCTGCATCTGAACGAAGTGGCATTTAGATGTATTTACACACTGTTTAATGCAGCTCAGAGGGACATGGAATGATTTAACCTGCAGTTACAAATGCATAAATAATGTTTTGCTATTTAAAAATTTAAAAAAAAAAAAAAAAATGAAAAGATACTTTAAAAGTGAAATTAAAACGTCACGTATGCGCGTGCACTCTGTAGGTGTTTTGTTTGGTTTTTGTAATATACTCGATAATGTCAAATCGCACATCGTTAAAACAACAATCACGATATTATCGCAGAAGATATATATCACACACCCCTACTCCTCAACTAAAATGTTTTTTAAAAAGGTATTTTAATACTGGTCTATTAGCTATACAATGATTTATAGGTCTACAATTAAAATATTAACACTGCAGTCATCAATAAAAAACAATGAAATAAAAATCTTTTATTTCAAGCACCGACTTTCAAAAACAACCTGTATAACACGAAATATGTTTCTTCTCATTTTTTTTCCACTATGTAATATTAGAAATATTAAGGGAACAAATTAAAACAGTTAGCTATATACCGTTATCAGCACATGTTGAAGCAGATCTCTGAGAGAATATGCGGCATCAGATGCCGAAAGCTCCGTCATTACGTTTTTACTTTCACTTTCTGCATAGTGAATTTACTGAGATTAAGACATTCACCGGCATAACTCTTGCACAAAGTTTGCATGTTGCTTGTGTGTGATATCTATTGGTTCGCCTTCATGGTTTAAAACAGAATTATTTCCAACATTGCGACGTAACCAATTATCCCTGTACCGAACGTACAGAACCGAACCGTGACACCACTGTGTCGTATCGTACCGAACCGTGAATTTTGTGAACTGTTACACCCCTAGAGACAATGTATTTTATTAAAAATCACCTGTGTGCAAAGCCAGAAAACCTGCCATGATCTTCTGAATCAAAAGCAGCCCATTGGACAATTCACCAAACCACTGCGGGCCATCCTGGGAGCTGTATACACTAATTATTGGTGATAGAAAGTAGCTAATCTTTTTCAGTGAGTTTAAATGGATTTTTACCTCTTATGGGCATTTTTACCTTTATAAAGCCATTTTTTTCTAAAAGTGTGGATCATCTTTTGAGTCAAATTCTTACATTTAATTAGTCGGTTAGAATAAGACCTTTGGGCTTTTACCAGGCAAATGAAATCAGTATCAACAAAATGTATCTTTGCAATGCAGAGGAAACACAGAAGCGGCATTAGAAGTGGCATTTAGATGTATACACACTGTTTAATGCAGCTCTGAGGGGCATGGAATACTTTAACCAGCAGTTACAAATGCATACATTTTTTTTTTTTAATTTTAAACATAAAACATTGAAAACTGATGTTTGAAATTATTTAAAAAATTAAAAGGTACCTTAAATGTGAAATTAAAACTGCCAGTAGGTGGCAGCAAGTCACTGTTAATAAGTGACAACAAAATGTATCTTTGCAATGCAGAGGAAACACAGAAGCTGCATCTGAACGAAGTGGCATTTAGATGTATTTACACACTGTTTAATGCAGCTCAGAGGGACATGGAATGATTTAACCTGCAGTTACAAATGCATAAATAATGTTTTGCTATTTAAAAATTTAAAAAAAAAAAAAAAAATGAAAAGATACTTTAAAAGTGAAATTAAAACGTCACGTATGCGCGTGCACTCTGTAGGTGTTTTGTTTGGTTTTTGTAATATACTCGATAATGTCAAATCGCACATCGTTAAAACAACAATCACGATATTATCGCAGAAGATATATATCACACACCCCTACTCCTCAACTAAAATGTTTTTTAAAAAGGTATTTTAATACTGGTCTATTAGCTATACAATGATTTATAGGTCTACAATTAAAATATTAACACTGCAGTCATCAATAAAAAACAATGAAATAAAAATCTTTTATTTCAAGCACCGACTTTCAAAAACAACCTGTATAACACGAAATATGTTTCTTCTCATTTTTTTTCCACTATGTAATATTAGAAATATTAAGGGAACAAATTAAAACAGTTAGCTATATACCGTTATCAGCACATGTTGAAGCAGATCTCTGAGAGAATATGCGGCATCAGATGCCGAAAGCTCCGTCATTACGTTTTTACTTTCACTTTCTGCATAGTGAATTTACTGAGATTAAGACATTCACCGGCATAACTCTTGCACAAAGTTTGCATGTTGCTTGTGTGTGATATCTATTGGTTCGCCTTCATGGTTTAAAACAGAATTATTTCCAACATTGCGACGTAACCAATTATCCCTGTACCGAACGTACAGAACCGAACCGTGACACCACTGTGTCGTATCGTACCGAACCGTGAATTTTGTGAACTGTTACACCCCTAGAGACAATGTATTTTATTAAAAATCACCTGTGTGCAAAGCCAGAAAACCTGCCATGATCTTCTGAATCAAAAGCAGCCCATTGGACAATTCACCAAACCACTGCGGGCCATCCTGGGAGCTGTATACACTAATTATTGATTAGCACTCATAACTAATTCATGGCATCTAAACACAAGAGAAAATTACATTCAAGTGATTGTGTACCTGGATACGAGTATGTGAGAGCAGGTGATGGTGCTGTTATCAATTTTTGTGAGGTTAGCTGCTCTAGAACACACTTCCTGTAGAGAAAACCCAAAGCCGACTAAGTAGGCCAACATCGTCAGACCGAACTTCAACAGGAACCAGCCCAGGAAGTAGTGTTGAGTCTGTAGGTTGGAGTCAAAAATAACATGAACGTGCATGTGAGTTATGTCAAGCGTGTTTAAATAGTTTGCAGTTTAAATCGAGTGCATTGTGGGGTCTCATGATTGACCTTGCGTGGTATGGAGTCCAGATTCTTTCCAGTAGCGACTGTCATCACTGAACCGTCAGGAGGTTTTCCCAGGAAGGACACGCTGTGAATGCCAGCATTTTTTTTTATATATAAAGTTCCCCGATATGACACAATGACCTAGTTTTACTAAAACGCAACATGTGGGCATCTTTTTTGTGTTTTCTTCCCTATTACCTTAGCAGTGGGTAACAGAAGCAGGAAAGCCACAGTATGTCTGTGATATTCATGGGAGGAGGCAGCTGAATAAGGCAGGCCAGGAACTACAAAACCAATACATCAAGAGTACAAATATGAATTCTGTTCATTTTATTTCCTGTAAATAACATACAGGTCTGTTTTTTCTCACCTGAATCATGACCAGTGTCAGTTGACACTGCAGTAGGAAGAGGAAGCACTTGCGAATGCCGTAAGTGGTATGTCTCGCCTGAAGATACATCAAGAGACAGCACTCAGATTCAAACTTTTTTTTTAAAGATTGTTTTATTAGACAGAGTCAAAATATACAGGAAATTTTGATGGGGGAATGGGATTGGGACTGGTTGCAAGCAAGACTCGAACCTGCATGACTATATTCATAATCATTTTTTATTTTTTTTTGCATGAGCTGTGGTGTGGTGGTTGGCAGACATGTTTTAGACACATTGATCTGTGGTGCTCATGTTGATGATGCAGGTTTGAGTCTTGCCTGCAACATGCCTGATTCCATTCTCCTTCCCCTAATAATTTCATGCCCATTTATGATATGTGTCTACATATAATAAGCACAAAAAATCCCCCCAATTTCTCATTTCAGTTGTATATGTACACTACCTTTCAAAAGTATGGGATCAATAAGATTTTCAAGATTTTTTTTTTTTATAAATTAACACTTTTATTTAGTAAGAATATACATTACATTTTCTTTTATACATATTATACATTAAATTTCTCAAAATGACAGTAAAGACATTTATACTGTTACAAAAGTGTTCAATTGCAAATAAATGCTGTTCTTAGGCTTACTATTCATAAAAAAAATCTTTAAAGAAAAAGTATCATGGTTTCCACAGAAATATTATGCAGACACTTCAGACATTGAGGACTCGAGTAATGACTACTAAAAACTCAGCTTCACCATCACAGGAATAAATACAATTTAAAATATAATAAAATATAATAAAATAAAAAAACAGTTATTTGAAATTCTAATGATATTTCACAATGTTACTGTATTTTTTATCAAATAAATGCAGATTTGGTGATCATTAGACTTCTTTCAAAAACTGTTCAGACCCCAAACCTTTGAACGGTAGTAAATAAATGAGCTTGTATCTTCTTGCTCCCATGTGATCAACAGCCTCATCAACCCTACAGCGTATGTGCATGCCAGAGCTCCCCATACCTGTTCTATGAGTTTGACCATGCTGACACTCTCGCCCTGATGGAAGGACATGGAGCAGGCGAGGCTGTTGAGACTAGCACTGAGCCCCAGTGGAGACAGCTCATCACAGTCTCCATTCAGCCCGCAGCCCGCAGCATACCCAAATGTCTCCCATGAGCACCGGGACGGGTACAGAGGATCCAGGGAGATACTAAAACACACAGAGAGAGGGTTTCCAAATTCAAATTCAAATAAGGCATAGAGTACTCTAAAAGAAACTTCATTTCTTAGGCTGATGTACACTATATTTAATTATGTCACACATTTAGAATTATGCAGTGACAAAAAAACTCAAAGCTATCTTTTTAGTTTCTTGAAAATTGCCACTCTTTAGATTGCAGCTTTGCATAAGATTATAGTTTGTATTTAATTCTGCTGTACAGTAGAATACAGTGACGTGTGTTACCCACCTGATGTCACTCTGCAGAAAAAGGCAGCTATTATGAAAGTTTGCAGAGCTCCCCAAACAGCACGTCACCTCTCTGTTCTCCTGCATGATCTTCATCATTTCACACATTGCTGTCAAACACAAATATTTAGAGGGTTCAACTCAGGTACACTAGCATATAAAACATATGGACTAAAAGCCACAAAACCTTTTTTTTAATTCAAGAAGCAGTTTCATTCGGATATACATCATAACACAACAACTTTTGCTTCATGCTGACTTTAAAGCTGGCATTGAGGCTGACTCACTTTCTGGGGTGCAGTCTGTGAACAGGGGCACCAGTAGAGGCACATTGTCTATGTTCTTCAAATGTGGGCGAACCTGATGAATGCCACGAGGCAGTTTGGCCTATAGAACAACAGAGAGGAAAGAGCATCAATCAGTATTAAAGAAACTCCAAAACATATTTCAAACTGCCAAACATTTACACCACCTCTCATGCAGCATTAAAAAGTCTATGCAAAGAAACTTTAGAAGCGCTTCTGTGCCACCTAAATCTGGCATTAGAATCTAATTCTAAAATCTAATTGTACTGCTATTGCTTACTCTGTTGCAGTCTTCTAAGAAACTGGGCACATCACTGTCAGTAGGCTGGAAGCTGGCAAGATCTGATTGGTCCTCAGGCAGTAGTGGGCCCTCTGCATCATCACGAGAATCTAAGAAGAGAGGTTGGATCATTTAAATGAGGGAAAATGTAGTGTAAATTTTGTGTGCAGGCAGGCAGGCAGAAAAACACACTTACCGTGAAGAAGGTCATCATGTAGAGATCCTGCTTGGCTTGGGCTGGACGGAGCACCATCGCAGTGACCATCTCCGTTTGGGGTCAGAGAGATGTGACAGTTCCAGCCCGTCTCCAAACCCATCTTCTCTGCAAACACCTATAAGCAAAGCCAACATTAAGAGGCGACAAAATATGACACGGCAAATGCATCATGTTTTTACTGAGTGTGTTTTCCCATCAGTGTCATACTTTGCTACGCAGCTCGTCCTCCATGGAGAAGTACACAAAGCGGATACAGGCTCCCACCAGGTTCTCAATGAGCCGTACAGTGTCCAGTCGGGCCTGGAACTGGGACGACACCATTCCCATGAAGATCTGGCCACTCAGAGCCTGCACACAGTCCTCCTTCTCCAAACCTTCTCCAATACCCTCTGAAACATATACAGTACACAAACATGTTAAGAGTTGGTGAGTTTGATTCATTTCAATTAATCAGTTTAAACCATCCACTTCTATCTACAAATCGACAAAATCTATCTATCTATCTATCCATCCATCCATCCATATACATATCTATTCATCCACCCATGTATCTCTGTCTATCCATCTACTGTATCCATCCATCCATCCATCCAGTGACCTATCTGTCTATCCACCTATCCAGCTAAGTAGCTATCCTTCCTTCCTTCCATCCATCCACATATCAGTCTATCCATTTATTTATTTATCCGTCAATCCATCCATCTAGCTATCTATCCAGGTATGTATCTGTCTATCCATCTATGTATCTATCATTCATCCATCCATCCATGTATTCATCTAACCATCTGTCTATCCATCTGTTTCTATTCATCCATCCATCCATCTACATATCTGTCTATCTATCTATGTATCTATCCAGGCATGTATCTATCTGTCTATCCGTCTGTGTTTCTATTCATCCATCCATCCATCCATCTACATATCTGTCTATCCATCTATGTTTCTATTCATCCATCCATCCATCTACTTATCTGTCTATACATCTATGTATCTATCCAGGCATGTATCTATCTGTCTATCCATCTATGTATCTATCATCCATCCATCAATCCATCTGTTTCCATTCATCCATCCATCCATCCAGCTATCTATCTAGCTACATATCTATCATTCCCTCCAGCCATCTACGTATCTGTCTATCCATCTATTTATCTAATCATCAATCAATCCATCTAGCTATTTATCCATCTAGCTATGTATCTGTCTATTTACTTATCTATCATCCATCCATCCATCTACATATCGGTTTATCCATCTAACCATCTGTCTCTATTCATCCATCCATCCATCCATCTATGCAGCTATGTATCCATCTATCTATCCATCCATCCATCTACATCTGTCTATCCATCTATGTTTCTATTCAGGTATGTATCTATCTGTCTATCCAGCTGTGTTTCTATTCATCCATCCATACATCCATCTACATATCTGTCTGTCTATCCATCTATGTTTCTATTCATCCATCCATCCAGCTATGTATCCAACCATCCATCCATCCATCTACATATCTGTCTGTCTATCTATCCAGGCATGTATCTATCTGTCTATCCATCTGTGATTCTATTCATCCATCCATCCATCCATCCATCCATCCATCCATCTACATACCTGTCTATCCATCTATGTTTCTATTCATCCATCCATCCAGCTATCTATCTAGCTACATATCTATCCTTCCCTCCAGCCATCTATGTATCTGTCTATCCATCTATTTATCTAATCATCAATCCATCCATCTAGCTATCTATCCATCTAGCTATGTATCTGTCTATCTACATATCTATCATCCATCTACATATCGGTTTATCCATCTAACCATCCGTCTCTATTCGTCCATCCATCCATCCATCTATGCAGCTATGTATCCATCTATCCATCTATCTATCCAGCCATCTACATATCGGTTTATCCATCTAACCATCTGTCTCTATCCATCCATCCATCCATCCATCCACATCTGTCTATCCATCTATGTTTCTATTTCAGGTATGTATCTATCTGTCTATCCATCTATGTATCTATCATGCAACCATCAATTCATCCATCTATGTATCTATCCAGGTATGTATCTGTCTATCCATCTATGTATCTATCATCCATCCATTCATCCATACGTCTATCCATCTGTTTCTATTCATCCATCCATCCAGCTATCTATCTAGCTATGTATCTATCCTTCCATCCATCCATTTACATATCTGTCAATCCATCTATTTATCTATCCATCCATCTAGCTATCTATCCAGCTACGTATCTGCCTATCCACTGATGTATCTATCCATCTATTTGTCTGTCTATCCATCTACGTATCTATCCAGCTACATAAACATCTATCTACCTATGTATCTATTGGATCAGCTGATCACTAGACAAACATATCAAGATATATATTTTAGCTCTACTGTCTGGACTGTGAGCTGAACAGACAATGTCTCTTACCATCAGAGCTCCAGCTGTTCCTGCGGCTGCCGTGTTTGATGGGGGTGGTACTGGGAAGCTCCACCCCAGAAAAGAGCGTGGGGCCTGGAGCCAGCTCCACACATTTTCCATTGAGCTGTCCAGACAATGCCACCTGCATAGGCTTATAGGCGAATGCAAAAAAAATTTGATATTTGCTATGAGTTTTGCTAAAGAACACATTAAATTATTAGTGTTTTTAAAGACTAAGTGAGTTTTTAGTTTTTACATGTTTTATTTTAAATTTCCGTCGACAATACTAATACAGAATTTTTATACTGGGAATTTTCTGTTTAGGGCAGAATTATAATTCCACCAGTAGTTTAGTACACAAACAAAATTCTCCACTCTGCATATTAAGAAAACTAAATGACTAGTGTTTTTCAATTGGTGTCTCTGACCTATCCGAGCCAGACAGCGGATAGATGTCCGCCCCATCCCAGAAATCCGTGCAGGCTTCCAGGATGAGGTCGGCCGAGCCGTGGGAAAGCATCTGTACATTATCTGAACAGAGTTTAAAGGGCAAAGGTCAGTGACTAAACAAACCACCAAGGACAAACAGGAAGTGGGATAGTGAAAAAATGGGTCATACTGGTAGTGCTGTCCCTGACAAACAGACTGATGAGGTGACTGATGGGGGGCTGGCGTTTGGTGAAGTGATGGAGGCGCCTGGGTGCAGATTCTTTGGCCTTCTCTCCGGAAGGAAGCTGATACAGAGCCAGATGATTCTCACGCTTAAAGAGTTCCCTCGCTCCTGGAGTGAAACCTGACATACAACAGAACAGGAAAAAACAGTAATCTTAAGAAAGGACGTTAAGTTACTAAAATGAGTTTAACGTCACTAGTCACTACAAGTACTGCCAGACTAAAAGTTTAACAATAATTTGGGATGCACAATATCAAATATATTTTGCGCATCCATGTTGGCCAATATTAGAGATTTTTCTCCATTCATCATTATAGGTTGAGGCATGCACTAATATTAATGTTCTACCTGATACCGATAGCTGTTAAATGCCAGATATGAAAATTCAGCATTATTTTTGTTGACAAAAATGACAAATAAACAAAAGTAATGTCCGCACACTGGCGATTCTGCTCCTATATATTTTTAATTATAAACAACGCAACATTTCGACCAATTAGATCTTCGTCAGGCATCGCCCTAATCCGTCGAAACGTTGCAATATGAATTATTAGTGTTTTTAAAGACTAAGTGAGTTTTTAGTTTTTACATGTTTTATTTTAAATTTCCGTCGACAATACTAATACAGAATTTTTATACTGGGAATTTTCTGTTTAGGGCAGAATTATAATTCTAATATGATAAAGAAGACAATTTTCGATTAATCAGCCAAGAGTTTTTAAAATCTAAATATTGAATGTGTCAAATAATGATAAAAAAATGTTGTTCGTGTTTGTATAGCCCTGTATTCTTGTTACGGGTGGCCCACAGAAGCTACAGGAGTACAAAATTAATAAAAGATTATTGTGCAATATTATAAATCCTAAAAATATATGTTTATTAACATGCTTCACTCATTTACCTATAAGGCGAGATAGTTCACAGAGGCCCCAGGGAACATGAACTGGTAGAACCACCCCGTGGCATTCCTGCAGCGCCATGTTTGACAAGTGGTCTGAAAATCTGCAGAGCTGCTGGGTGACGGTGGCATTGCACAGGTTCAAAAGGATGTTCAAGCCCAGAGGCTTCAAAGAGGGCAGGTGATTCTGCCAACCGGAATCATCAAACTGGATGCTGACAGGGTTCTGCTGATCCTGGGACAGACTCAACATCTCCAGATGATAGTCGCACACAAAATCTTCTGCTTCACACAGATCATCACCCACACCGCATGGCTGGAAATAGAGACACACACAAACACATGAACCAAACCGCAGAGCTATAACCTGAAACAGCTCTAGTAGTAATATTTAGATGTAGTCCTACCTGAGCAACGTTGCCATCACCACCCTCAGTGTCATGGCTGAAACTGACGTTGGAGCCTGATGGGTGTTTGGAACGGGTGGTTTGGGGTCCTTGACGCTGGCGCTGGGTATCTGAGGAGCGGGCGGTGTCATGTGATGTCTCGCTGGGTTCCTGCTCCGCCATGTGAAGGGAGGGTTCAAACGCTGGTAAACACAGCAGTGCTTCGCCTTCCTGAGGCTAAACACAGAAAAACACACAGACGCGGACTGAAACTAGACAAAACACAGAGGCTAAAATAATAACTTATTCAAGTCCAGCCCTATCAAATACAATTACATACTGCATTTTTGCAGTAACCTAATTAAAATCATCATAATTAAAAGAAATTATGATGCTCCAATCCAGCTATCAGTAGTACCTCGTCTTGTTCCTCCTCGTCCTCTGTCCTGCAGAGGGAGTTGACTGAAAGGTCGTCTCTGAGGTCATCCTGGCTGTCATGAGGAGGTTCTACTCGTCCGCTGAAGAACAGCACGGTCTCGGGACTGGGGTTGGGCCAGGACAGAATGCCCTGCTTATCCACACAGCACAGCACCTATGAGAGGTCAGAAAATAAGATACTTTATCAGTTAATAAAGCTTATGCTATTCTTTGAATTTAAAGCAAAACTAAAGGAATAATTTACAAGCAAATGTCTATTACTTTCACCAAATATTTTTAAAGATTGCTACAACAATACTGTTAATACCACCCACAGTATTGATCATAATTAAGTTTTAATTAAAAATGATTTTTGTGTACTGTTGATGAAGAACAGCTACAAAGCTATTACAACTACACTTCCCATCTAGCATGATAATGATAAAGTATACTTAAATTAAATAATGCATATCATTTGCTAATTGTCACACAACACATGCAATGTTTACATTATGCTTAGGTTTATATGTTTCTAAATGCATTGCAAACTGATTTTAAATGCATATTTCATATATGATCATGTTTTGGACATTTAGCCTATTTGCAGTACTGCATTCATGCCCTCTAGTCTTGTATTATGAAGCCTATTTATTTACTGTAAACACCACTTGACATTGTTTATACATACTCAGGGATGTGTTGTAATTACTGTTTGTGGTAATTACCATCATGATACAGATGCAGTATGTCAAGGATGTAAACAAATGTTTAAAAATCTTAAAATGGTCCTGCTATTAAAGAGGCATATTGATTGACCACTAACTTAAATATCTGAACAGGAAAACTGCCCTCCTAAATATCTATAGCAATTACAGCCCAGCTGTAAATTGATAATTAGGTTGAAAACAAGCCAAAACAGTCCTTTCAAATGTATTCATTTTTAAAGTGAATACTAATACATTTTTCTTTCATCAAATTGCAAGCAGAAAGTGTAATATTTCTAATGGGACAACAGGGGGAGCACTTACAGTGACTGAACCCAACGAGTGCAGCAGACTGGAGGTATAAGAGAGGGTCTGGGACTCTCCCTTCAACACACTGACCAGGTGTCTCCACACACAGCGAAGCATCTCCTGTACACAAGCACACACACAAATATGGAGCGAGTTTCATCTGCCCTGAGTTAAACTCAAATCCATGTATCAGCAGCTCTGGGTTTCGAACGGCTCTGCAAAAGTTTCAGGATTTATGAAACCTAAATCCTGGATCTGGTGTCATCCTCAGACGAAACACACACACACACACACACACACACACACACACACACACACACACACGGCTGCTGATATATGCATATGTGCACACACACACACACACACACACACACACACACACACACACACACACACACACACACACACACACACACACACACACACACACACACACACACACACACACACACACACACACACACACACACACACACACACACACACACACACACACACACACACACACACACACACACACACACACACACACACACACACACACACACACACACACACACACACACACACAAAGAGAGGCTCTGTAAGACAAAGCCTAGGATAGTCAGGCAAGAAAAAAGCAGCAGTAAGCGTGTCCAGTCTTGGGTTTATCCTGGTGCATTCAGAGATTTAGAGCCGTTTCATAAAGATAAATGCACCTTGCAGCAGGCAACAGGAAAAGGGAGACAGAATTTGAATTGACTAAATGACAGAAGATTTGACTCTGAAGCAAACAACTGAGAGCTTGAGGCAGCAGCTACAGGAGAGGAAGAACTGAAAACTGTCAGTGGTAGGTGAATCTATCTTTGACACACATCGCAGGTCCAAGAATCCACCTTTAAAGTCAACATGAAATCAAAACTGAACTAATTTACTTTCTTAATACATGTTCCTGTTCTTATTTTTGAGGATTCATCAGTGCGTGTAAAGAAAAACTGATTGCCGTTCATCAAAACATAATGATTTAAACCACATATTAACTGACTTTCAGCATATTAAAATGATTTCTAAAGGTGACACTGAAGACTGGAGTAATGACTGCTAAAAATTCAGCTTTGCCATCACATGAACAAATTACAACTTATAAATACACTTATAAGTTAAAATTACACTTATATAATAAATATAATAAAATAAAGTTATTTTAAATCATAATACTATTTCACAGTATTATAGTTAAAAAAAAAGTTTTTAATGAAATAAATGCACCCTGTCGGTGCATATAATTTGTGACATAACGCAGTTGCGTTGCAGGCATCCCGAGTTCGAATCCTGGCTCGAGGACCTTTCCCGATCCCACCCCCTCTCTCTCTCCCACTTCGCTTCCTGTCTACTCTACACTATCCTAATAAAAAAAAATATATATATATATTTTTTTTTTTTAAATAAATGCACCCTTGTTGGTAAGCACAAGAGATTTTTCAGTGATCCCAAACTTTTTAACCTTAGTACATTTATAAACTACATCTGTAAATATGTCTGCTAAAAAAAAAAAATACGTCAACTGTAAGGACTATACTAGGATATAGATGACCTTGAATCTAACAGACACGGAAACTCCACAAAAGTCCAAATTTGATTTCACTGGGTCTTTAAAGAAACATCATTCAACACACACACACACACACACACACACACACACACACACACACACACACACACACACACACACACACACACACACTCACTCACACACTCACACACTCACACACTCACACACACTCAGACACTCAGACACTCAGACTTAAACTGTGCACAGCTGTTAAATAAAAAACTGAGAAAATTAATGAAGAGCTTCTTAAAACCTTTCTTTTTTGCATTACAAAGTCTTTGAAATAAGAAATTAAACAGCAAAACAGTGCAACATTTTCAGTCTGCTCATATGTCTGATCTCTCCATGCAGACAAATACTTGCCACACTTTGGAAATTTTAAAGGGAAAAAACAGTCTTGATCATGCAGAAGTTCTCAAAACGTACATTAACTGAGATAAATGTAGTCCAGACAAGCACCACCACTATAGAGAGAGCTTATACTCCATCATGCAAACCTCAGGCAGACAGAAGGTGGGCAGGCAAAGGCCGAGGGGTCACAGGTCAGCGTGGGGGGGTGCCAAACTAACCGGCAGCACAAGAAGCAAAAAAGGTGTAAATAAATAAGAAAGACCGCAGGTGTATATTGGCTGATTTTGCAAACTTGACTGAACGAGGTGAGATGAAGTGACCGCGTTTTTTAAAAGAAAAAATGAGAACTGAAAAAAAATGGTGACGCAAGAAAAAATAACAGGCTCTTTTCATACTGCTCCTCTGATAAACAGGTTGACATGACTAATAATCAGAACAAAAAGGTGAAGAAAAAATATGACGGTTGTGGCAGGGTCCAGAGCAAGGGAGAAGATCACAAGAAGCGTGTGGTGAACGGGTGGGACAGGAGGAGGAATACAGAGGATATACCTGGGAGGACACCACTTCCGTGTAGCTGCTTAGAGTGTCCTCTGAGAACTTAGCAAGCTGGGACGAGAGAAAAGTCTGATTAAACACCTGAGCAGACGGTCAGCCCTCCATTTCAACTCTGGCCTAAACGCTTCACCTCGGATCCGCAATCCCTCCCTAAGCCTCTCTACTACTAGTGTGAGCTGGGCCAATGAGCTTTACTTCCTCATGCAGTGTTGCAGCTGCAAATCAAAGTTAATACACACAGTAATCACAGACTGAGCGAGTTACAATTTAGCAGCAATATCCGTCGATGTGGGATTTGGGAAGTTATGCATTTTTTGTGTCTGCATATGTGTGAGTGTGAATTGTTAATGAATAGCATAAACAAGTGAATGAATGTGTGGTGTTCTGTCTGTCTTACCAGGCCGGTGGGAGAGTTACGGCTAGACTCGGCTAACACGCGGGCCTCTCCGTATGCATTCACCAGAATCCACATCACAGGAAACAGAAGAGGTAAAATGGGCAATACAGCCATCATCTATTCACCAGAGAGCGCAAGAGGAGGACAAAAAGAGGGAAAGAGAAACTTTTTTTTTTTTTTAAAGAGAGAAATTAATACCACCATTGTTGTGGCAAATAAAATGTTGGCATCAAACTTTTAGTGGATAAGGATAATGATAAGGATTTACATTATTTACAATTTTTACCCAATAATATTTATGAGCTTGGCACAACTAGAAAAATTTATATTTCACTTGAATGACATCACTTTCCCAGGTCTAGAAATCACACATCAGAAACCAATTTCAGTGAAAAACCTGGTTCTTCCAAAAAATACAAATGAACAAGAAATATCCTGATTTGTAAATGTTTTGGCTCATTTTGTGATTAACTATTATCAACCTGCAACTGAAGGAAGTTGAAGGGTCCAGGGGTGAGACCAGGAGTGTCACAGAAGAACCGGATCGTGTTAATAGAGAAAAAGGCCACCTATAAATTAAAAAGTTGACCAAAGATCATAATCAGTAAATGGACACATTTTCACATACATTTTTTAACTGTTATGTGTTATCACACATCTTGCAACTGGGACATGTGTGCATCATGAGTCATGACAGCTTTCATATTGACAGTGTTTCACAACATTATTTTATGCTGCTTCATAATAGCTTTTTTGCAACAGGTTTACAGAAAAGAATCACCTTTATTTGTGTAGCAGGCTCAACAAACAAAATCTACATACATACTATGCAATGTGAATACAGCAAACTGTTAATACGGGTGTCAAAAAGGATGTTGTTTGCAGGCAAATTATGTGTGAAACAAAACTTGTGCATGTGGTCAGTTTTGTCATACCAATACAGCAGGACAGGCGAATTTGGCAATGATGGACTGCACTGAGAACCGTTCATTATCAAGGGCTGTGACTGGACGGGAGAGAGCCAGGTCAAGACTGTTCCTATTGGCCAGAAAAAGGTGATTACTTACTATTAGCTGCTGTGAGAACACAAAAATGTTCACATATCACAAAGAAAAAGATGGCATGTATAGTTATCATTTCCTTAATTTAATCAAACCAAACATATTTCAGCATTTATAGCAAGTTAGTTTAGCTTGGATGTATTAACCTGACACTGTCGAGTATAGGTGTGCGCACCACCCTGAAGAGGCGGTACTGCTGGGGTCTGTGTGGGCCCCTCCGCTCATTCCCGCGTGGGGAGGGAGGAGGAGAGAGCGGCGGAAAAAGGTCTCCTGGCTCCAGCACGATGTGTTCGTCGTCCTGGTAACAGAAGTTACAGTGATTGAGAAGAACAGACAGAGAGTGCCACAGAACCTGAGAGAAACACTCATTAATAAAGTGTTCTCCAAGCTTTTCTTTAGTACAGTTTCAGATTACAGTACAAAATACCAATATATAGTTCATAGAGTTATTTCTACTTCAGTAAAATCACAATAGCTTGATAGTGGATCTCTATTTAAAAAGTGTACCACAATTTCCTAACCAGCCACAATGAGTGAAAGGTCATTGTGTTACATGCTTTGTTTCTATTGCTAAGGCATTATGCTATGTAGCCACGAGCACTAAAAGCTAATTGGTCAAAAATCCCACTCATCAAATATAAGTGCACATTAAATATCAAATACTTCCTGATTGACTGTGTTTGGGTCACACCACACAAGTAGTAACCGTACATGTAGTTACTGTGTTACTCTGGCAGAAACTATAGTTACCGTGCAGTGTTGTTATTGTAAACTAAAATTAAAACTATTAAACATTGTCTTTGCTCATTGAAATAAAGCTGAAATTTAAAAAAAAAATACAAATATTAGACGTAATAACTAATGTTGGCAACTAACTGAAATAAGTTGAAATACTAAAATTAATAAAACAACAAAAAAAAATAAAGCTAATTATAAAAAACTAATAAAATGACAAAAGACCATAATGAAAACTGAACTGAAAATATACAAATAACATTTAAATATTAATAAATGCTGTAATTTTCTACTAAAATAACACTTTTACCATGGTAATTGTTATGTATATTGAAAAATATCTATATCCTACACACTAAATTAATAAAAAGTAACTCAAATCTGACATTACGTTGATGCCTCTGAGAGATGCAAAGGCTTCCTGGCCCGGTCTAAGAGCGATGACATCACCTTCCACCAGAAGACTGACAGGTAGATTAACCAGCTGCTCGCCTCTGAATGTCCAATGCAGTGACCAGGAAGGGGAAGTGGGGGTGTAGAGGTCAGGATACAAAGAGGGGGCCCATCTGATTGGATGTCCTGCACTTCTCTCCAAATAATCTGGTAACCCATGGGAAAAATGAGAAAGTTAACAAGTCAACATTTACTTGGAACAACAAGTCTAGCAATGACATGACAGTGAATAATGACAGAATTTTAATTTTTCGTTGAACTCTATCATAATTCCAGTTATATCAAAGTGTATTTAGCATAGCATGGAAATATAATGCACATGAATGGATGGATGAGCCACAGCATAACCATCATTATCATTTCCTGAGGCGTGACTGATTTCTTTAGATGTTTATAGTCGCTGTTCTCTCACCGTTCAGCTGTGAGATGATGGACTTGAGCCTCCGCACCATCTCACTCATCCGTAATCTCTGCTGCCGCCCGATGAGGAAGAGGTTCAGCAGCAGTAGGAGGAAGAGTGCGCCCGCGTTCACCAACTCTATGCCTTGACTGACACAAAAAAGGAAAGAGACTTACATAAAAAAAACACCTGGTAGCTAAACTCCCAATACATGATGTCAAATCAAACTGTCAATCAAAAGTTTTTGGCACTAAGCCCTGCCCACCTGCCCGCTGGCTGACTGCCATGACAACACAACAGCCCAACAACCACAACCAGAGTGAGAACAGCTCCTGGCCAATGGAAGCACGAATGCTGGCTGTCATGATGTAGGAAGCTCTTAACCCACAGCTCCTGTAAAACAAAGAGGAAAACCAAAATCAGGAATTCCCTGACAAAAGTAATATAACTGTGTTGATAACAAGCAATCCAGAACAGACCTGTATGGTGGATCTACGCCGGCTGGAATTCTGGTGTTGTCCCAGTAAGTTGGACAGCTGGTCCCGTAGGGTGCACAGAGCCTGAGCCGTGGACAGTCCCAGTGGAGTCGCCTCCTCCTCCTACAGCACAACCAGATTTCACAATTAGTTGGCCACGTGAATTTTCTATGTTGACCAATAGAAACCTGCTTTGCTTGAAAGTGAATTCTGTGAGAGGTGTGCTTCATACATCGATGCATGATTTTCTATAGACAAAGGACTTTTGCACATGAAATTTGGCCAAAATTTGGCTAACGTGACCACAATGCTGTCTATTATAGACAATAGCTCCTTTCCTCCAGTTTATAAAAACAAATACAAATCATGTTAAGTAATGCAATTAGAATGTAAGAGAGTTTAAATGCAGAAATGTGAAGCTCGTATTGTTATAGCATTTCTAACAGTTATAACATATACATATACATATACATATAAATATAACATTTATATATTTATTGGCACTGTTGGTTGATTATATTTAAATTTATTGCCATATCAGCTTCACAGGTTAGTCAACATTCAACAATATAATAAAATAAATACAATATAATAATAAACACAAATATTGTATAAATTCAACTTAGAAATATAGCAGCAAGAAGCGATTATCGGGGTTGAAGTTGAAAAACCTGGGACCAGTTTGCAAAAGTAGGTTTTTCAAAAAAATCCAAAATACCTCAAAATTTTACCAAGGTGACAATCAAATCCGATATAAGACACTTGTGTCTGCGACTAACGGTTTAGGAGTTATGAGCGATTTCGTACTTTTATTCGCTGCGGGCCCACGTCAGGCCAATTGGGGCGAGCCTTGGTGACATTGTAGACGGTGTGAGTACTACAATCTCTCCAAGTTTCAAGTCTCTACGACTTACGGTTTGGTCTGCCCGATCAGTTTTAGGTGGAGATTGCTGATCCTTGGCCATTCTAACAATTACAATAGGGTTTCAGCACTATGCACTTGAACCCCTAATAAAATAGACTAAACAATATACAACTCTTTGAAAGATCCTTTAAAGGTACTTAAAATAAAACTGTAAAAGTTTTTCTTGGTCCATCTTACAAAATAAGTCCTTCAAAGTTTGCCCTAATTAACAAAAATATTATCACATGACATTAAAAATTGGGCAGACCAAAAACATGTGTTTTATAGACAAGTTTGTGCTACAATACGTCAGTGAGTCAGTCTAGTATTACTGGAGCTATATCACACTAGTCAACATCAAAATTAAATATTTTGTATACTTGTGGCTATACTAACAACAACTAAACAATCACTAGTGCAGTGCACAAGTGCAATGCACCGCCGCATAGATTGTCCCAATCTGAGAAACAAGCTGCAATAATTTTTTTTTAAATTGACGGCATGTCCAAACATTGTATTTAATCTGTAACATTTCATCATGACATTGTTAGAAAATAACCATCCAATGCTTTTTTATTAACTTTATTCACCAGTTCTGAACTACTGATGCAAAATATTGAGGGAATGTTGACGCAGTAACTCAAACCTATATATTTAGGCAGAAATTTCATTGCTCAACATGCCTAGAATGGTCAGAAAAGTTTCTCTTCGCTGAAGAATTCTGGTTATCCTACCAGTACACTTCTGGGACGGCTGGGGTCCTGTAGTAGCAAACGAGGGCCCCAGCACTATAAATAAACACGCCGCTTTCCCACAGCCAGAGAGGCACTAAATCCCTACACGAGCATCTCTCACACATCAACAAGCAGGGATTTACCAGCTCGGACACATGCAGTCACGCATGCTGGCCTATTACGGGTAAACCACTCAAGACCTTTAAAAATGCATGAAACAACTACGCCCAGAGCCGAGAAGAGTGCACATGCACCTGGCACGGGACTCTCACCTGTTCACGGTACTCAAGATTAATCACACACACACAACAGATTTAAGCCTTTCGATTCGCACACAAGACCAAAATGTTGGATGCCAGACAATCGGACTCAGACAGATCACAAACAACCAAGTTTGTTATAGGAAGTGTGCACAGATCCACTCACTTTATTCTTCCAGAACCAGGTCCCATTTTTCAGGATCATGGCTGCGAAAGGTCCCTCTGCTGCAGACAGACTAATGTGCGACTGGTGCGCGTGTGGGTTGGACAGGATTGTGGCGGGGTGCTACGGGATAATGTATGCTGCTGTTTCAGCATCAGTCGCACGGTCTGGACAGACAGTCTCTGCCTCTGCGCATTCAGAGGCTGTCTTTTGGGCACGTCCCAGCCACCCTGGTGTAGACTGCCAGCTAAAAAAGCTTTGCAAACCAAAACCAATGCAACTGACTAGAGAGGATGACCACACAAGCGCTCTTTTCAGACAATAACAGTGTGCAGGTCTCCTGAAAATAGTTAAGCTCAAGGAGAATGAATAGAAAAGAAAGGAGATTTTGTGAATTCTAGTGTTAATTAATCTGAGAGCTCTGCAGAGGCAGCTGCGACACGCCGCCTGAAGAGGAACAGGCAAAAAGGGTGTAAAATGGCGATGAAAAGCCGGAGGGAATGAGCAGATATCAGGGCTGGGGAGCTTTTGAGAGAAAGAACTGGAGTATGAAGTGAGGGAGAGGGGCTTGACAGACAAGCAAAAGCACGGTGTGCCCTCGCCGCCCTGTCCAGGCATTCATCCATTCCAGCTAACACAGCAATTTACGATCCTAGCAGTGATGGGGTGCGACAGGACGGAGAGCATCCTCAATGAACCTCACAATCTTACTAAAGTAGGGATCAAATAATCATTAAATTATAACAAACACTGTCTGTTTAAATTTTTTTTTTTAAGTGAAAAAAAAAAAAAATGAAATTGTTAAAAAAAATTTGACATTGATATGATATAAAAACATAAGAAACATATGCTTATATTTATATACACACTCTTACACTACATATAATTTTCTTAATTTTTGAAATTATGCTAAATTAAATCTAAATCATACTAAATTATATTAAATGGTATATATAAACTAAAGTCAATTAAATACGATATAAAAATGTTAGTGTAAAACATAATATACTATTATATAATTCTGTTTTTTCATTGTTTTACATTTGGTGGTGTAAAATATTTCAGCTTTTAGAAATGCAGCATAGCACCCAAAATACTACTTTACCCCCAAAATACTAGTCACAAAATTATTGTAGTTTCATATTAATCATTACTGATGTCCATCAAAACACTAAACAAAACTTCACATCCTCATTGAACCTCACGGCCTTGCAATGCACTCCAGATTCAGGATCTGATCCAGATCCCCCTGTTCCTGTACCACGAGAACAACTCTCCCAGCACACTTCACTTACCTCGGCAAAATCAATACAGGTAAGACAAGAACTAAGAGAGGATCCCAGCAACATCATTACTGCCAATTACACATAATGACTTTAATGATGCTGTCCAACACAAGCAATGTTACTAAATAAATTCAGACAAAGGCTAATTTAGACATTCAAGGCCACACACAAGGTTGTGGGCATGAGTTTTCAAATGATTACAAAAAATAAATAAATATGCCTTTCTATACATATTTGCATATAACATGATAATATGTATTTTAACATGATAATACATGAAACAAATCTCCTGCTTTCACAAGATATTATGAGTAAAGTCACAGTACTTCTGGCCAACCTCACTGCTTTTCAGGCCCATTATGAACTGCAACAAAGAAAGGCACAACATATCAGCCTTTCTTGTCCAAAGTCAAAAAGACGATATGGTTTACACAACCTCTACAACTTCCATCTCCATTAAAAAGAATATGGGCATGGTTCAAGCTAATTATTACAGGACTCCTCAGAGCAAAAATACTCATGACCGGAAAATAAGAATGAAATTCCCCTGTAAATAAACATTACATTTTTCTATTTTAGAATTTTGTGCCCTTGACCTTGATTATGCAAAAACTTTCATTCGCACCAGCTTTTCAGCACTTCCTGTACAGAGGTCTAAATATGCCAGAGAACAATAAAACATTTTTTTTTTTTAATTAGTGAAAGTTTTCTGGTCAGTGAGTTTGAGTTCATAGGAGTAATTAATGCATTGTCTTTGGTGGCTGGAATTTGTTTAGAAAATGTGATTATACTTTTTAATTAAATTCTACTACAAAAAAAATTGTATGAATTAGGGCTGTAGCTATCGATTATTTTAGTAATCAAGTATTCTACAGATGATTCCATCGATTAATCGAGTAATCGGATAAGAAGTCATTTTTCTTTATTAAAGAGCAATACTAAATATACATTAATAACCGTGAAAACTAAACCCATTTAATGTATTTAATTGCCAAATTGCATTCAAAATGCAAATACAAATATATCAATAAAAAAATAAAATACAAAAATAAAAATACAAAAATCAATTTCACGATACTTTAAAAAAGGTAAAGTACTAACTAAAACTAAGACATAAATCAAAATAATAGTAATAAAAATAATACCTAAACATTGCATTTATTTCGTGCAACTTAACTTTCAAGTTTCAGCCTAACTAAAGCTCAAGCATGACATAAGCCTTTACTGTCTTCTTGGATACTAAATTTTTAAGTTACCGGCCATTCATAAATTCTACTAGCCAAAAAAAAGAAGAAAAAAAAAGACAGAAATACACCAACAGTTTGAGGCTGTCTACACTGGGCGTTACAAAAGTGACCGTTGCAAATCATTTTGTCAGTACTAGGGGTGTGCGATATTGACAAAAAATAATATCTCAATATTTTCTGTGATTTTATCAATAAAGATAATTAGACGATATTTTGCTGAGAGTGTTATTGCGCTGATATCTTAAGGACTATAGTGGACAGCTGACTCCTATTGTTTTTGATATCCTTCATATTCTGTGTGCGGTTCAGTTCACAGCAGTGATAGAAATTAAAATTAAGTTTAAATTGATTTTTACATTTTATGGGCATTTTTACTTTTATAAAGCCTTTTTTTTTCTAAAAGTGTGCATCATCTTTGTAGTCAAATTCTTACATTTAATCAGTCAATTAGAAGGTAAAGCGATACACAAATTTAAAGGGGAAATAAGTATATATAACAATAAATATACAAATATAGCCCTAATAAGTTAATGTAATAATAATAATAATAATAATAATATACAAATAGTAAATTAAATGTTTAATGTTAATAAAAATGTTTTATCCATTTTTGATAATCCTGGGTTGCTATGGTCACGCAGGTTTGTTTACGCATTAAACTCGTGGCCACGAGAAAAAAATATGTGTTCCCTCAACATAAGAAGTCGTGGCCACGTCATAAGGATGACGTTACCTCGACAAAATGATCTCGTGGCCATGACATAATATCACGTTCCCACGAGTTAATATGACGTTCCCTCAAATTAATATCTCGTGGCCACGACATATTATCACGTTCCCACGAGTTACTATGTCGTGGCCACGACAAAACTAAGTGAACCGAACATGTCACCTTACGTGCACCGTAGGAACGAAACGCCGTCATGTTGCACAGAGACGCAAAACAGCGCTGAGGCTGTGTTTGGAATTTTTTGCTTGCAAAATAAAGCAAAAACAGGCCATATAGTGTCTAAAACGTAAGTCTCATAATATTACCTTCTTGTTTATTGAACTGTTGAATAAAATCACATTTGTAATCAAGCTGATTTTAGAGGTGAAAACTGGCACTCTTCATGTGATATTGACTAACTTTCTTTCTGTGGTATTTTTATGTACACAAAATAATGATCTTTAAAGAAGCATCATATGACCCCTTTAAGAGTAATACTAAATATACAAGAGATAATAAGATAGATCTCTTAAAATAAACAACTAATTTGTTTTCTTTTTAGAAAAATTAATATTTTTGTTGCTGAAATTGCATACATTAATAACCATGAAAACTAAACCCATTTAAATAAATAAATAAAAATACAAAAATCAATTTCACATTACTTAACGAAACGCCGTCATGTTGCACAGAGACGCAAAACAGTGTTGTGGGTGTGTTTGGAATTTTTTTGTTGGCAAAATAAAGCAAAAACAGGCAATATAGTGTCTAAAACGTAAGTCTCATAATATTACCTTCTTGTTTATTGAACTGTTGAATAAAATCACATTTGTAATCATGCTAATTTTAGAGGTGAAAACTGGCACTCTTCGTGTGATATTGACTAACTTTCTGTGGTATTTTTATGCACAATGGCGTTTAGTCTTTCACAAAACATAGCTAACGTATGGACATTATAACTAGCCACCATATTGATTTACGGTTTTAAATATGTCCAGTGCTTTTTTTAAAAGTCTGGTCCCTGTTTTTATACAGTCTATCGTCTATGGTCTGGTCCAGCGTTTATCAGGTTATGCGTCAGTAATAATGGTCCGTGGGGAAACACGGTGTTCCGTGTGTAGTTACAGTAAATGGACTAAACGAAGCCTCCCTACGTTAGTTATGTTTTGTGAAAGACTAAACGCCATTGTGCATAAAAATACCACAGAAAGTTAGTCAATATCACACGAAGAGTGCCAGTTTTCACCTCTAAAATTAAACGAAATAATTTGCCTCGATGATTTTTTGTATTCGAGTTTTTTAAACATTATTTGATATTAAAATGAGACTAGTGTGATGAAGTTGCCTTATCTATGTAAAGTCATACCCAATCTTTCAACTCGATTTCTTGTTGCTGTTGCTTTACAAACAGAGTGTAAAAATAATTTTCAGTGGTAATCAACAGTCTGAGCAAACCCACTCTCATCTATAAAATTAAGACACCTCAAGACCTTACCTGTTTCTTATCCTGTAGCTCCATGGCAGCCGCCGTCTCTCACCATACTCTGTCGAGATGCCCAGAGCTGGTAGTTACGGTCCACACTTGTCCCGATCCCAGTCCGGTTGGCAGAGGAAGGCAACTGTGGCCCCCAGCTCCAAGACGCTGCACCTGCGGGCACTGCCAGTCTGAGGGACGGATGTCAGGGCTGTAGTCGTGCCCAGGGAACTGGAATCAATGAATGGGTGTGGCTTCTCTCTTCTTACATTCAAAGGGATCTGATCAGGTTAGAAAAGGAGTTATTACAAATAATTAAAGACTACAATTAACATCATTATCCAAGTCAGGTTTACATGCTGCAGTTATTTGAAAATGTCAGTCACCGGATCTACAGAAGATGGTCAGACTGGCCTTTACTCACTTACTCATTTCACTGCCAACGGCACACAAGAGTGCAATAAAGAGCAATAGCTTGTCTGTAAATAAGGGTAGTTCAAATATTCAATTACACCTTATTTTATACTTATGCTATTGCCACCTGATGCCAACCTGACATAATCAGGTTCTGGCAATCACACAAGATGTTTCATTTAATAAAAATGAATATTCTTGCTCACATGAAAGTGGTGAGCTTCCCTGTTTCCCCTGATGTCACTGTAAACATGACCAATTGGGTAATGATAGTCTAAAATTAAACAAGAGAAATTATATAAGAGTGCCAGCAATCTGCAAAAACAGCTTTTGGCTACAACCTCAAACAATGTACGGCATTTAATCATTTAATCTGTGGCTATCTAGGTAAGACGCTATATTTGACAAACAAATCACTGAGCGTTTGGCTTATTCTTTAAAGAGAAAAACAAACCTAAGCAGCAAACTTGCAAGTTAACTCACCACTGATTCTGAATATCCAAACTGGCTCACAAAACTCTAATTAACCATCACTGGAGCATACATACATACATAAATAGCACTTACATAATCAATCCAAAATATTCAGAGAGAAAAGAAGTGCTGACCTGATTTATAAGGTGACAGCATTACACGAATACTTAGTGTTTATGCTACTAGAGGCTTTAATAATTGACTACAGGGAGTGAAATGACAACACAGGATTCATCTGAACAACTAAAACAATATGAAAGTTTTGTAGAGACATTTCTGAGTAATATGTATATTTTTACAGAGAACCCGTAAATAAGCAGTGGTATTACATAAAGTTATCAAATACTTTTCAGTAACAGCTTGCATCTGTGAATTACACATCATAAAATATTATATTCCAAAGTTTTTCCGATTATTATTAGACCTATGGTAATGTGAAAGGCAGCTGCCATTTGGCATGTTGATCGTTTGATCAAGGCTCGAGACTGGTGGAAACAAGCCTGCTGTATCTCACTGCTGAAATGAGCTGTCAAATGTACAGTCTTTTATATATAAATATCATTAAACCATTTATAAATCATCTAAACAGCTGGTTCATGTTAACAGAGGTGGCCTAGGGGTTAAATGCTACTGGCTACATGTTCAAATCACACTAAATCGACGTAAACTTACGTTATCGAGCTGCAACATCAACGACCCGCAAGTGTCATCGTCAATCATCAAGAGTGTTTAAGCAGAATCAAATAATATTCGTCTCAAAATCCTTGGACTCACTCCCTGGTGACGGCCATGTTAGTGACTAGAAGGGCGTGGTATGTTTGTGCAGGGACGATGTAGTGGAATCTAATTGGTCAGTGCTATCTGAGGGGCGGGATTTGAATTGTTTTGTCCTGTGTGATTGGCCAGTACTACAGGGCGGGTAATCGGCTTGCTGTTGTCTGGCTCATAGGGCGGAGCCTCTGTTTGGTAGTTGCCCTGCACATCAAAGTGAAACATTTGATGTCATATATTTACAACCCAAAATGTAGTAATCAAATTATAAGAAATGTGTTTCAGTCAAGGAAAATAATTATCCGAGGGGAAATGTTTTTTTTAGGAATTCTTTAATAGATAAGATTAATTGGAAAAAAGCATGGCTCTTACCTTATAAACTTTGTTCCCAACAAAGTAAAATAATTACATTTAAAAATAATTTGCATAATATATAACCCACGAATGAGATTACATCAAAATTTGGTAATCCTCATTTGAATTGTAATTTCTGTAATTTCAGTATTGAATGATCATCTTTTTTTCAAATGCCCCCTTAAGGGATTTTGGTCTGACTTGTCAAAATTCTTTGCTTCAAAATCCAATTTAGACATTGATTTAACTATGTGTTATATATTCTGTTATTTTTCTCATTGTAAACATAACATAGAATATATAGGAAATGTATTTATTTTATTGGGAAAATACTATATTCATAAATGTACATTTTCTACATTACCCAAATTACATAATTTACTTTGTGACTTTAAGTACCTAATTATTATAACACTTAAAAATGTTAACACCAAAAAAAGTGTCAAATTTTGTGAAACTGTATAATGATCTGCTGAATGTTATGTAATTTGATTGACTATACCTCTGTACTTCTTGTTTTATTTTATTTTTCTTTATTGTCTTCCTATATTATTTCTGTTTTCATAATGTCAGTTAGTTTATTCTTGTTTATTTGCAAAAAAAAATTATAACAAATGCATATTTATAAATATCACTATTTAAATATGTATCTGCACGAAAATGGAAAAAAATATATATTTTCTCAGTTTTCTGACAGGTGGAGAGATATCAGTGATATTTATTGAAAAATTATGAAAACTACACTTCAGAAGACATTTTACACTTTATAGTTTAACATAACATATAGTTTAACATGTTATACTATTTATAATAGTTTAACATCTGTACTCACTAATCAGTTTTCTTTTATTTGGAGGCAAATAATTACACATAATTATAACACATATACAAAATAGGTCAGCCTTATAATAAATATAATCACAAATCATCCCCATTTGTTGGTATAAATTCATAATGATGCTAAATTAAACACATATTTGTTTAAAAAACATCATTACATTAAACAATGCTTATTAAATCATTAATGTCCATTCCAAACAGTTCAAAATGTCATATTTTTTATAGAAAATTGTACTGTATACTTCTTTTCTGCAGTATCTTTACAGCCCTGAAAACCACTGTCTATATTGAATTAAACATTTTGTAAGCATTAACCTTGATCTTACATAAACATTTGTACATCTTTTTTTTAAATAAAACGACTGCAATATTTTATGGCAGGAGACATATTTGAACTTTAGAGTAAGTCATGGGATATTAGGGGAAGTTTGCATATGTTGGTTGTTTAATGTGGAGTTCCGGACCGACTGGACAAACTGCTGTAGGAGGGTTTCACCACTTCTTCCATAATCACAGCAATGGTGTGGCACAGCTCTTTCGCCTGGGAGACACGAGAGATCAATACAAGAGCAATCTCATTAATAACCATAACCAAATATTAATAAGACCAGCTCTTGAAAATGACAATATTGTACATATCATCTACATACGAACCTGCTTTAGACCGAAGCTGACAGTCCTGGGTTGAGTTCGGCCACTAAAGCTGATCTCAACTGATGGCAGTTTGTCTTTTTTGGGACGGATTGAGCGCAAGGACTGCACATCCACCATAGACATTGTCAAACATGCGTTCTGCAAAGTTTGTGATTGTTTAGTTTTGGTTGGATATGGTTAAAACACACAATTAAGGTCAACACATCATGGGAACTGAACTGGAGTGACAGATCAAGGTTGTAATACCTGTGATTTGGGATCAAGGATTTTGATAACTTCATGGTTGACTGCGACCAGAGAGGGAGAGGGGCAGCTGCGATGACTTACTTTCTGAGCAGTGAATACATCGAATCCAAAGAAAGGCAGCACACTGACACTTTCTGGAAAGTTGAAGAGTTTGTTTATATGGATATAAGGATGTGAAGTAAATAAATGAAATGGTTTCACAGCTATCTGGAAACATTAAGCAGATTTGTTCACTCACTGATAAAGCGAACTTTGGCATCAAGAAGGCTGAGGGGGCCTAAGGTAGAAAACTGTGCCCGTATAGTAGCAAGAAGTCTTTCGTCATTGGAGTTGAGCTGATCCATCCGGGGAAGGTACTGCTTTACCTCAGCGCTGAAGATGAAAATTGATTACATGTGAAGATGTGTCAGGTTTAAAACTATGATTTGACTGTCAGCTGAAACGATTTTCACCGAAAGGTTTAGGGATAAGAAATCAAATGTTTGAGATATATATAAAATTACTTGGAGGGTAGATCAGTCAGCCCAAGTGCAAGGTGTTGAAGAGCGGTCAACTCTGCCACCTGCTGGTAGATTGTAGCACTGTTCGTGGGCAGCAACAGCCTCCCTCCCAGATAGTTAGCCACAAGCTGAAAAACATAAGATCCATCATACAGTACATGAAAATGAAAGATATAAAAAAGTTTGAGGTTGGTAAGATTTTTCAATGAATAAGTCTCTTATGCTCACCAAGGCTGCATTTATTTAATCAAAAATACAGTAAAAAATAGTAATATTGTGAAATATTGCTACAACTGAAAATAACGTTTTTATTTTAATCTATTTAAAAATGTGATTTATTTTTGTGACGCAAAGTTGAATTTTCAGCCGTCATTATGCCAGTCTTAAGTGTAATATGCTGATTTGGTGCTCAGGAAACATTTCTCATTAAAGGCACAATATGTACGTTTTTGCCACTAGAGGGCGCGTATTCAAAACAAACAAAGAAACAAAGGCGTAGTTTGATGACGCCGTGACTGAGTGTGGAATCATGGGAGTTGTCGTCTTCATCCCCACAGCCGAAGCAATCCGACGGGACTCGGGCAGAAATCATGTTCATGGATGAGCTAATGTATTAAAGATTTATTAACGTCGTAGAGGTTGAGGCGGAAAGCCGTCGAAGCGAAACGAGGCCGCTGAACGAGCGCGTCACACGGTTCGAAAGCAGCGGAGCTTTTATTATGCCACAGTCGACCGTTTCCGCTCCCTCCGGTCGTGCAGATGTGGGGTAAAGCAGCGCTGTTTTATCATACTAGATACATTTGAAAGTTCTGTTATAATGCTACCCTGTGCAGTCGTCATCTGTCTAATAAAATGCGTAGCATATTAAAGCGTCTTTGGTGTTTCCATGTTCCTCGGAAATCGAGGGTGCATGATGTCATCGGCAGGTGACACTATACACTATGGACACGGTCCGTGTCACTAGTTAAAATTGCTTATTTCTCTGGATTTAAACATTCTTCGAAACATTTGGGATAATGTAAGTGCACAAGTCAGCAAAATATATAAAACTGTTCTAGTGGTTTTTGGATATTTTAATAAAAAAAATATTACATATTGTGCCTTTAACAATAGCTGAGACAATTAATATTTTCATAGAATTGGAAACTATGTTTTTTCAGGATTATCTGATGAATAAACTGTTGCATTTCTTTAAAATAATTGTTTTTAAATCTTTTTTAGCATTATACACCAAACTTTAGAATAGTAATGTATACATTTAATTTCAACGGTAGTGTATACAGTACATTTCAAGATATATATAGATATATATCTTGGAATCTTGGATATTCATTCATGTAAAACAGGGGTTGTGTTATTACTTTAATATTTTACATAATAATGAATTCAAAAGTGACTGTTTTTGTACCAGCTGGTAGTGGAACTCCCGATAAAGATCATTGCTGAACCGCAAGGGCTGTTTCCAGATTATTCGATGAAAGGAGAGGGAGATGGAGCCATCATCCAGCAGGAAGTCAAAAAGATACTCATCGGAGTGAATTGGTCGTGTCACATCACCTAAAGAGAGGGATTTGTGGTAAAGACAGTGTGAAAGCATTGTCTGATGTGTGAATGTGTGTTCAAGTGTGCATAAGAGTGACTAAAGATATCTTACCCCCCTTCTTAGTGGCATGGATGGAGAATTCCTTCACTTCTGCTGGATTTAAGACGCCCATCTCAGTGCAAAAGTCTTGTAGCACCTCAAATGCGACCTGCAGAAAAGCACTACATGTAAACAACACATTATCTGAAAAGAATGAAAATAGAAAGAGCAGCCCTCACTTACACTAAAGCTGCGAATCTTGCAGGTAAATTCGTTTCCACCAGGCAGCTTTATGGGCAGCCGACGGGAGTTCCTCCCAGCCTGCAGAGCAAAGAAAACAATTTCACATACTTTCGCCTGCTCTGTTTAACATATTTTCTTTTCTCACGTGTCTTCACTTACCAAAATGGCCTCCATCTCTGAATGTGAAGGGATGTGTCTGCGTCCTCCGAAACTGAGTGATCGTCTGAGATTCTTCAAGCACACACTTGCCAGTTCTGTAAACAAATATTATATTCACATAACCCAGTGCAAACACAAAAACAGCTATTCTTGATACAAATAACTTTCTAATCATATAGTATAGCAAAATCCACAAGTGAATACTGTACCTTGAAATGGGTGGTTGGCACCCTGAATGATGGCCTCCAGGTGGCGGGTGCAATATGGCAGGAGAGTGTTGGAACAGGGGAAGAATCCAGTCACCAGATTGAACAAACGCCAGCCACGGGTACAGTTCTCCCTATAAAATCAGCAAATAAAATGCACATTCAAAAATTCAGGGCTGGTAAAATCTCAGAATTCTTTAATGACTACAAAGTTCAAAATAGCAACATTTATTTGAAACAGAAATGTTTTGTAACATTATGAATGTCTTCACAGTCTCATCCAAGTATAAAAAAAACAACTTACTGACCACAACCTTTTGAATGGTAGTGTACACATATTATTTACTCACTTCACTGGGTTTTTTGTGGTCTGCTTGATGACCTGACAGTAGATCTCATCTCTGAGGAACTCCTTCTCTTTTCCCAACTAAACCAAAACAAACTGTCATGAAACAGATGTCAAAATTCACAATACCTCTTAAAATAAAATATGCTGTACATTTGGAAGGAACGCTTACCTGCAAAATGGAGTTAACACAGTCACTCTCTGTCTGATTTTTCTTCATAGGCTGATCCATCATAAACTGCATCAAAACTACAAAGAGACTGCTGTGTCAAAAACTTTGAATGGAATGGAATCAGATTGGAATATTTCATTCTGATTGGTCAATCTGTGATCAAATATTTTGGTATATCGACAACTAAATATAATGACCACTTTCCCCAGGCAAACAATTTTATATATAGCCATATTATTTTTTAAGGCTTTTTGATTCCTCCAAACTCTCTTAATTTAAAGTCAAGTCGATAATGAATTCATTTGATTTATTTTGTCATTTTAAATTACATATAAATCAATTTTATGTTTAATTTATGTAATGTATTTTTAAGTGGGATAATGTAGTTATACACTATTAAAAAAAAGTTGCTGCCTTAAATTTTTTAAGTACAATCAACTTAGCTTTATAAGTCATTTTAACTTGAATTACATTAAACTGACTTAAAACATGAGTTGAATCTTGTATAACTTATTTTAAAAAAGTTGAAAATCGCTTAACTTATTTTGATGTCATGATGGTGTCATGACATTTTCATCATACCATTTTTTTTTAGTCTGTCATTATCGCAAAAAAAATAAACCCTTTCAGGGTGGTAAAACTTTTACCACCTTACCAAACTTGTACACATAAAAGACCTCTTTGCTTCTTACTGGGCTTCTGATTTTATTTTACATGACCCACTGACTGTACATTAACCCAGGGAACCCACATTTTTGGCTGTTATAATGGGTGACCTTACAGTTAATCTGTTTTTCAGTACATTTGTTAACTTACCCATGAAGTTTTGAGCACCAAGACGATTGAGATCATTGTCTGAGAAAAGGATCAGTGGTTCCTGAACAGGATTCTAATAAACGAAAACACAGCAAACAAAAGCAATCAAAAAAACGTATAAAATCCCAGCATGGATCGAGTTAGAGACTAAGAGATGCATACGTACTGAAGTGTATTCCACCATCTCATTAAGACTTTTGTGTTTGTTTTGTCTGAAAAATAAGAGAAATAAATCAATGTCAAGTGGCATTTGTGAAGTATGATGCAAACTCCTCTGCTTTCCGGAAGATTTCACCTGCTGATAGCATCTGTGAAGAACTTCCTGGCAAACTCAGTCATGATATACTGCTGATGATCTGATTCAGATCTCTGGATGGACCCCACGTCAGCACTGTATACACTGCTAGCCACTGAGTGGGCAACAGGGGTGTTGGAGACAAAGCTATTAGCAGGTATGTTGGTCACAGGGCCATTGACAGGCGTGTAGGTGACGGGGCCATTGGCAGGTACATTGGGGGAAGAGCCAGTGAGTCTCATACTCTTTTTCCGTTCAAGCTGCCGCTCCATGTTGCTGCTGTGGTAGTCTGGTGGGGCACAAGGCTGAGTGACATCCACTGGGAAGAGTCCAGAACGGCCTCCACTGGAACCAAACATCCATCCTGCAAAGATTAAAAAAAAAAAAAACTATAGTAAATCCCTTTTAGGTGTTATGATGTACTACTTATTCATATACACATGTGATATTTGATATACAAACATGTCAAACTTTTTTTTTTTTTAAATATCATGCATTAAATGTTCCTACTTCCTAAAAAATATGTGTCCTGGGAAATAACACTTGTGCCGTGTCACTGCTGACAGGCCTAACATCTGTAAACAGCAGAAATTAATCTAATCGTATCCTCAGTGTATTAACAAATTGGAAAGCCTGTTTTTAATGGTCAGACATGTTGACTTTTTGCTTAACTAATGTTTTTTTTTTTTTTTTTTCAATTTTGAACATGTTTTTATGATTTTGTCGCTAATGGCATAGAAATGACACGTATTCGTTTTTAAGGTAAAGTTTAAGGAGATCCACAATCTGAAATGGTTTTCTCAAATTCTCTTCTCACCGTCCTTGAGGCCGTCCATGTTGAGAATTTTGATGACATCGCCTCTGTGAAAGCTCAGCAAGCTCCTGTCATCTGTCACATAGCTTTTCACAGCAATCACATAGTCTGAGTTCTGCAAATGGAGGTAAGATGCACATTTATCATTGTTTTTGCAAATTTTGAAATGAAAACTATGCACAATAATAGTTAATGTCATGGTTAAAGTCAACATGAAACCACAACCCATTTTACTTGTTATATAGCGAAAGAAACAGGATATTAAAAAAAAAACGTGGTGGATTTAATCCTTTGGCAATTGTTTCAATTGTGAAAAAAAGGTTTTGCATATTAGGATGGAGGTGGTTGAAGGAGAAGGGTTGAGAAATTAAAAAAGAGAGCCTGAGTTGTTTCAGAGACTGAGCAATTTCTATTTGTTTAAATGTACTGCATTAACCATTCCTTGTAAGACCATGAAAGTAAATAAGGTCAGGTATGGTGACTTTAAATGAAAAATGAAAGCTACATGTGTTAAGGGTAGTATCACGGCACCGTAATCAGCTCCATGAGGAAGAGATGAATCACAGCAGCGATCTGTGGTGCCTGTTGAGAGTGAAGTTCTAACTCCTCATTACTCAAAGAGATCCCGACTTTATCAGCCCCTTGTTGCTGTACTGACAACACCTGTGAAAAACTGAACAGTATAAACATATGGTTATATAAACTGCTACACTATAGAATATTATATACTACTGTTCAATTGTTTGGGGTCAATATTTTTTTTTTAAAGAAAATAATACTTTTATTCAGCAAGGAATAGATCTTGACAGCAAAGACATTTGTAATGTTACAAAAATAAATTTAATAAATGTTGTTCTTTTAACTTTCTATTGATCAAAGAATCCTGAAAAAAAGGTGTATCATGGTTTCCAAAAAAATATTAACCCACACAGCTATTTTCAACTTTGATAGTAAAACAAAAATTTCTTAAGCACCAAATCAGCCTATTAGTTAGCTGACTTGGTGCTGTTTTCTGAAGGATCATGTGACTAATGGCTACTAAAAATTCAACTTTGCCATTAAAGGAATAAATAATTTTTTCAAATGTGTTAAAACAGAAAACAATTATTTTAAATTGTAACAATATTTCACAATATGACTGTTTTTACTCTCTTTCACATTAAAAACAAATCTTACAGACCCCAAACTTTCGAACAATAGTGTAATAAATTTTTTTTAAAGCATGCTTTAGCCTGTTTAACACAACATTTTTAGCCTCTCAGATGTTCTGTACCTGTAGCTGTGGAGAAGTCTGAGGTGTTTAGGGTTTATGCCTGAAGCTCTGGCCACTTTCAGCAGTCTGATTCCTCTATGTGACACTCCCAGAATCTGAGCATCTCCTCCATTCCCCACCTGTTGAAGCACACATGCTTAACAAATTTCTGTATGCATGTTTATGCGCATTATGTAAGCAAAGCCAAGTATTTCACCTTCACATTAAAGAGACGTGCAAAGTAATTGGACCAGTTGTCTCTTGCTGCCATGACAATTCTTTTCTTCAGGGTGTCATCTAGTGAATTGATACTGGTTCCGATATGGAAGCTTGCTGGTAAGAGAAAAACACAGAGACTAGCTGAATTGTCCATAATAGTTTATCTGAATTATTATTAGACTGGTATATAGTAACAGATTATTAAAAAACAGCATCTGTCATACCCAAAAGATCTTTCATTTTACGCCTTTCCTCACGTGAAATCCTCAGACAAGAATCCGAGTAAGTGTCTCGCATGATCTGCAGTTTTCAAAAACAGTAGATAACGTGTGGCCCAGAGTTTGATGTACACAAACTAATATAAAATACATTAATTTTGAAACTTTGCATCGTTGAATAAATCTAATGCTATGATTGCTACTGACCTGCTCACAGAGTAAATTAAGAATGTATGGGTGGTTGAATTTTTCCCTGGGATAAAACAGCTGCGTACAAGAAAACACAAATACATTGAGCATACTTCAGTTAGCCAGAAGCAGCCATGATACCCGTTGTGGGAGTCATGCAAAGTCACATAAAACTCTCTTGACTTAGTTACCTCCTTGCGCAGGAAGAGTTTGCCAGGCATACTGGGGGACGAAAAGTAAACGCTGGCAGAGAATCTGTGCAATTGAGAGCGAACACTCTCCTCCTCAACCATCTTGTTGAACTGATCTTTAGGAACACATAAAGGATGAGATATTATAAATTATATTACCTTAATATTAGAATTTTAGAGAATAAAATCTTCACAGCTTTCTTCAAATTTGCATATGTATATCTAACTTTTAAATGTATATGCATACCCCTGTATTACAAATGTACGTTTTTATGATCCATCTATCCAAATAACCCCAAGAGAACACATTTGCTTGAAAAAAAAAAATAATAATAATAATAATTTTGCAGTTTTTCTATTAGACAGAATGAAAAACTTTAAGAAATATTGGAATTTTTTTTTTATTTCTTAATTGTTAACCATATTTTATTAGAAACATAAAACCATTAAAATGTTATTAGTTTCAAATACATATAAACATAATATATATTTCTATGTAAAAACCTTAAAATACAATTGACAAAAAAACCTGTTTAAGTTTAACTGTAGAAAGGAAAAATAAGTGAATAAGTTAATAAATAATAATCTTAATAAATTACTAGTTTTTCAACATCTACAATATTTTGATTACAGGAAGAAAAAATGAAACACCTTAATTATTTCTTATTAATTTTGAAAATTTCTTAATAAATTGCCAGTTTTCAACACCTGGAATATATTCCGAGAAAGAGAATTGTCAATTTTTCATTTTAATGCATAGTACCTGGCAGCATTACAAAAATGACAACACCCGCTCAAACCTAACAAGTAGTGAATTATTTAATTTCACCTCATGTTCAGTTAATTGTGCTAATTATGATTAAAGAAAATTAAATAATACGATTTCAATCGTACTTGACGACATACTATGTGTACTGCATATACAGGTGCATCTCAATAAATTAGAATGTGGTGGAAAAGTTCATTTATTTCAGTAATTCAACTCAAATTGTTAGAAATTATCCCTATATATCAGATGTGAATCACTTACTAGGAGGCATTGGTGGTGGGTCGGGGATGTTGGGAGGTGGAGGAGGGATAGGCTCACGAGCTCGAGGCAAAGCATGTGAACGCTGCGAGCCGAAGAGATCAGCTAGTGAACGCTGCTTCTGCCTCATATCGTTAGAGATTTCACGAGGGCCACGGGACTCAGGCGGCTGAGGGGGTGAAGGAGGCTTCTGTTCCCACTGTTTCTGCAGCACAAATAATACAAAAAAAAAAAGATTCATGGTGAACTTGTGCATCCTTGACTTTGAGCTCAAAAAGTCTAAAACACTAGATTATGGCATGTCACTCAGGTCGGTATCATCTACCTTCTGGTTAGAGACAGGTCCTTGAGCTTTGAGAATGGCCAGTGCCTCTTCTTTGGGGTCATTTTTCTTTACAAAGTGCTTGGCCGGAACCCTGTGAAGATCAAAGTCCACATTATTCCTCCATTTACAGTCTGGGAATCACTCCAAGTGAAAAGGCCAAAGCAACATAATATTATGCAAGTGATCAATAACAGCAGAGGTTGCATTAAGTCAATGTGAATCACAGTTAGCAACCCACTTTACTTCCATAGTGCACACATTTCAGAGTGACACAGGACATGTCACGAGAAAATAAAAAAGTTGAAAAAAGACTTGATTTGATCCATTGGGAATTCAATGGATCATGAAAAGTGGTCTCTAGGTGGAGCAAGCTATTGCTTTACAATAATTCATGTCAATTCTTGGCCCACCTGACAGGCTCGAAGGCTTTAGGTTCTGGAGAGGGCCGGCTCTGGTACCGCTTGATGATCTCTCTAATGTTACTAGTAGGTTCTGGTTTAGGAGATGTGGGTTCTGGAGATTCTGGTTCAGGTGTTTGGATGTTAGGAGGTTCTGGGAGAGGTTTCACTGTGTGAAGAAGGGTTTATAAACTTCAAGACACATTATATAATCTTAGAAGACTAAAGAAGACATTAGAATCTTAAGTATGAATTTAAATAAAGACCACAATGAACCACAAAAACTTAGCCCTAGGTGTTGTGACAAACGTCTGACCTTCAGTCTGTACTGGTGGAGGTGATTTGGGTTGGGTCACCTCCGGCGGAGAGGCGTATATCAGTGGCTTAGCAACCTTTGGCGCAGACTTTGGGCGTGCTTCTGAAGTTCCCGAGATGCATAAAGATAGTGAAAATCTTTTATGCAGTTTTATTTTAGCCATTTTAAGGATTCTGATTGGACAGTGTCCACTCACCCATCTTTTGAAAAAAAGTCCTCTTCTCCTGAAAGGACCCTTGATCTTCTGGGGCCCTGAGATCCACCTCTGCCTCAGGCTGTGCCTTAAAGAACAAATTAAGTCATTGCAAAAATCTGAAGTGTAAACATACAGTTAAAGAAAACACAGGCACTGATCAGTTCCTGTACCTCTGGACCGCGGGGCTTTGGAAGGGCCTCTGGGGCTTTTTTGGGGGTCTGAGGAACGGTTCTTTGTTCCTGGGGGCGGCTTCGGGGTCTGGGTGAGGGTGAGAGTGAAGGTGAACGTGCACGTGGAGGAGAGCGCCGCCGCTGACGTGGTGACTGTCTCTTTGACTCTTTCTCGCGTTTTCGCATCTCTTCCTGCTGCTGTTTCTGGGACAGTGTCATCGCCTGCATTGTCATCTGCTGAGCCTATAGGGAAAAATAGATTTATCTGTCTACTTTACGTTGAATGAACTCATGTTACAAATGTAAGAACATAATAATGTTATACCAGAAGCTTTACTCACCAGAAGCAGAGCCTGTTGATTGATAAAGGCCTGCTGCTGAGCAGCCATTTGCTGTGAGTTGACAGCCGGAGTTGCAGCAGGCATGGCTTGTGGCATGGCAGTTGGCATCATCATAGCTACAGCCGAAACAAGCAGTAGGAAGAGGGTAAGAATTTAACAGTTTATGCTATCAGAGAAGCACAACATCAGCAGGATGCTTACGTTGCATGGGTTGCATCATGGGCATAGTAGGCATCATGTTTGGCATCATTGGTGTGGAAGCATAGCCAGCCATGGCAGGATTCATTGGCATTCCTAAATGATAAGGGGAGTAGACAGTCCAGTTACAAAATAAATTCTAATGTCAGGTCCAAAATAAATGTCATAAGCTGTTTTTCCAATTTTTCAAGTTCTACATTTTTCTCCTTACTGTTGCAGTAAGTTTTGGGAGCTCATTTTTAGTCCATCTCCTGAAAAGTGTGTCTTGCAGAGACTGACAAAAATGAGCTCTTAAAACTTACTGCCAGATTCTGGAAGATCAATTCTTGCTGGTCCTTCAGGAGTCACTCTTAACTTATCTGTCCATAAAGCCTATAAAAATAGCCTATAAAAATAGTCTTCATGTATTTCACAACACTTCAGCATGTTATTCATATTAAGTAGGGATCACTTTACACAGAGTGCGTGTGATCGCGAAATCGAAAGTGAACAGCGAGCGCTAATTCAAATGCGATTTCAATACCCTGCATATTGATAGCGGCTCCCTGATGTGCGAAAATTATGGGGTTAAAGCAAAAAAAATCTTTTGTGATCGCGAAATCGAAAGTGAACAGCGAGCGCTAATTCAAATGCGATTTCAATACCCTGCATATTGATAGCGGCTCCCTGATGTGCGAAAATTATGGGGTTAAAGAAAAAAACTTTTCACTGAACATTTTTCCTCGGCCAAACCCCATTCCACAGCCATACCTATCACACACCCAGTTTAAGAGAAGTGTAGGAGCACCTTCAATAATAAAAAAATTCTGATCAAGAATTAGCCTTCCTAATACGAGCTGACATTTGACTCAAAGTGATTTCAGGGGCATTTTCTTTATATTTTTTTCCAGCTGTGGTGGCAGGACTATTTCTCATGGACCACTCCCCCTCCTCACCCAAGAAACACGTGCACTCAGAATTGAATTTATTTGAACTAAAAAAGACAAGTAAATAGTAAATAATAAAATAGGAAAAAATAAATTAATGACAATCAATAGCACAAACAAAAACAATAACAAGAAATGTTTTAAGTTAGGTCTAACTATAATCTACTCAACTGTAAAATAACACAGGATAGTCTTCACTGTATAATGAAAGACAGCAGCAGGTTTATTTAGGCTGCTGTCTCTTTAAGACCTCATGCACAGATCTAAATGTATGTTTATAAGCTTTTTAAAAGTTCTATTTAAAAAAAAAAATAAGAAGAAGTAGAATAAGAAAAATAAGTTAGCAATCATATGAAATTAGTATTAATAAAAAAATAATTTCTACTACAGCGGGTGCTCAGAAGAACACAAAAGTGGCTTGTAGGTACATTTTCAGACGTTTAATGATTCTCAGAGGTGGCATGAGTACGAGTGAGTTCTCAAGACTCGAAAGCACGTGCAAATGATAAGTTCCGTCATCTGTCATCGTGTTATAAGCGCGGAACCTGCCGCTACGTGTTTCTTCTCCCCTAATTTTTTCCAGTTGACGGAAATCCGTCGTAGCGACGGAAAACTTTCATCCCTGTATATTATGTATATTATGCATGCACTGTATTTGTCCTCTTATGCTGTCGAGGTAATG